ACACACACACGTAGAATAGAACACACACACACCTATAATAGCACACACACCTAGAATAGAACACACACACCTAGAATATAACACACACACACGTAGAAAATGCGGTGTTCAGTCAAGATTTTGGCCAAGTATCCCAAGAGCAAGACTCTCCTGAAAATGAGCGTTGCAACTCACGTGAGGCTTTCATGGATAAAGTGACATTATCACCCTATACAATTAATAATTTATTAATAAAAAATAATAATATAACTTACATCCCTTCGTCAATCCACTGCTGGACGAAGGCTTCCCCATGCCGTGTCAGTCGTGGTGGGGGGAAGGGGGGGGTGTGGGGGTGTTTGACCATACTTCACCACTTTGGTCAGCGTCGGATATCACTCGCCACTCGAGTTAAGACGCCGTGGCTGGGAATTTAACACAGGATCGCCCGGGTTCCGAACGTAGCGCGCTAACCACTGCGCCACCGCTCCCATACATGCACACACACATTCACATGCACACACAAACACAAAAATCCCCCGTGTAGCCTTAACAGTCTGTTGGGTGCAAGTGCTGTTAGCGAGCACCTATGAAGGCTGGCACAGCAATGCACGAGGGGGTGGGTGGCCAACACCACGCCCAGCCGCCTTTGTCTCCCCTAGTTTACGCACCGCACCAGGTACTCATGTGAGGCTGAGTCGCCCTAGAGGAGGCCCAGGACCGGTTCAGAAAACAATGAGCGGAAAATCTAACTCGCGGATGCCGTGTTCGGAGCGCAGCGCTGCGCTAACCAGCACACTCACGGCCCCCCCCCCCACAATGCCACCCGCAACAAAGACCCCCCCGTGTAGCCTGCACAGGATGTTGGGTGCAAGCGCTACGAGCGAGCACCTCATGAAAGGCCGGCACGGCACGCGAGGGCGTGGGGTGGCCGGCCACCACACCCGGCCGCGTTTTTGTCTCCCGTGTGGCGATGATTGCGCGCCGAGTCAGGCGATCAATTTGAGGCTGAGTCGACCTAGGCGTGGCCCACGACCGGTTCGGATTGACACACGCGCGCACGGGACACGCGCGGTCTTTACAAAACATTTTACGACGACAACAACAAAAAAAAGCCCCGTGATGGACAATGGGAATTGTGAGCCGTCTGCTGGGAAACTTCCTGCATGAGATGCAGCAGTGCCTTCCTGTCTTTGTGTTGCTCCCAGAAAAGTGGGGGGGGGGGGGGTCACCCCTCCCCTCCCCTCCCACCAACCCCCCCCTCCCCCCCCCCACTAACCTCCACAACATCGACTCTCTTCATTCAATTCACGATCGACAAACCACGATCCATAACCACTGCTGGATGATGACAGGGGGATGTTTCCAGTGCCGAATTCTCCTAGTAGCAAAAGTAGCTACATATGTAGTAGCTAGTAGTAGTAGCTGACGATGACTGTAGTAGTAGCTACTACATATGTAGTAGTAGCTGCTACTACATATGTAGTAGCTAGTAGTAGTAGCTGCTACTACATATGTAGTAGCAGCTACTACTACATATGTAGTAGCTACTACTACAGTCATCGTCAGCGCCCGTCATCGTCAGCCGTGGTCTATCCGCTGCGAGACGAAGCGGGCGTTCGCAAGCCGCCACCACCACCAGCCGCTCACGGCACTGCGATGCAGGAACCTGTCGCGGTGCCCTGCACGGAGCTGATTACATTTTATGTTTTTGTATATTACCAATTAAAGCCAACGCTGAGTTACGTAGCTCTTTGTTCAAAAGCGACCTGGCCGCCACAAGCGATGGCTCGACAAACGTGGCTTGACCATTGTGCGGAAATTTACAGCGGCCAAAATGCTCGAACAAAAAAAGACGTGATGTCGTTTGTAAACGTGGAGGGGACAACTGGAGGAGCTGGAGAGAGAGAAAACAAAATCCACGCGACCACGGGAAGAGAGACACCGCAAACTCCAAACATACAGCAGCAGGCGTCAGGGTCGGGTTAGAACCCACGACCTCCTGTACACCAGGCGGGGGAGTTAACATCTCAGAGCCACCACGAAGCCAGCTTACGGGGTCTTCGTCGTCGTCGTCGTCATAATCCTATTAGCACGGATGGCCCCATACGTTGCGAAATAAGTTCAACAATCATCATCGGTCATCATCGCGGTTGCATCACCACCAGTGCTGCTGCTCAGAACGCTGTGGCATAAATAGGGGCCACACCCTGCTAACGAGGGGCAGAACTAGCGAAACCAGCCTTAAGGATCTGACCCGTTCACACGGGGGCAGTGGGTGACGTGGAATCGAGAGGCGACGCGCTGCTGATAACACTCAACCGAGGTGACGCTGGACTTTGGGACACGTCATCCGGTAGCATCGGTTAATGGGACAACACACACCCACCCACACCCTGCTGATGACAATCACAGCGGTCGAAACTGGCCTAAGGCTTTGACCCAAAACCAGGGATGGAACTTGGACAATAATGAACGACGCCCATTGACGCCGCTCTTTAGCTGATGCCATTGCTGCTTCACGATGCCGCGCGCTGCTGATGAAACCCACCGACATCGAAACCAGATCCCGTACTCTCACTGTGCAGCCGGCGACAATAGTTTATTGTGGCTACAGCGTACTGATGAGACTATCCATGCCGAAAACCAGTGGTGACTTCCCCTACCCAATCACAGCAATATTAACTATCTTGTACACATTTTAACCAACCTAAAAATGATGATTTAACGAATGAAAGATATGTTGATGACGAGATGTTGACGACTATGATGATGATGATGGCGATGATACACTATGCCCTGACATACATTGCATATCCATTACAAGGTATGTGTTGCCTTATATATACTGTTGGGGCAAGTGCTGTTTGCGAGCACCTATTAAGGCCAGCAGAGGCACACGACGAGATGATGTGGCCAGCACAACGCACACACATTTGTCTCCACCGGTGCGAAGTTTAACACAGTTCACCGGGTCTTAATTTAAGGCTAAGTCGACCTAGGGGAGGCCCAGAAGCGGGTAAGGATGTAGGTCCCTGCTGATGTAAATCCTCCCACTGATCACTGTCGGGGATTGAACCCAGGTGCGAAACACGCCGTGACCTCACTCTCACGCACAAAGACAAAGGTCGCCCCGTATAGCCTTCGACGGTCTGTTGGGGCAAGTGCCGTTAGCGAGCACCTATGAAGGCCGGCACCGCACACGAGGGGGTGGTTGTGGCCAAACACCGCACACGGCCGCCTTTGTCTCCCCAGTACTGACGCTTTACCGCACCAGGTACGTACGAACTTAAGGCTGAGTCGACCTAGGGGAAGCCCAGGAGCGGATCAAATATTCACCGCTGTTATTGGCCGTGAGCAGGAAATCCAACTCGTGCGGCCGGGGTTAGTTCGCACATCAGCGCCCTAACCACTGCGCCACCGCTCCTCACTACACACACACATACCATACGCATGCACACACACACACACACAGGCACACTACACACACGCGCGCGCGCGCGCACACGTATGCGCATGCATATTCATGAGGATTAATACGAACGGCATTAGCAGAAGCCTGGTGTGTAATCCCGGGGTGTGTGGCAGCGGAGCAACTGGCGTCTGAAGCGTGGAGATGACCCGCCATGCCGTCATCTCGGTGGCTCACACAGCCAGGAGGGCCAAAGGAAGCGGAGATTGCAGTCACAGGCGCGCAGGGCGTCCGTCCTCCTCCCCCCTTTGCCCGTGAGCCGTTGCGAGTTACAAAAACAAAATGAGAAATGAAACCCCAAGCAACCCAACGGCGGCATGAACGCGATAAAGCGGGGGGGGGGGGCTTGTGGGGGGGGGGGGGGCACGACTCCCTCTGCTGTGGCAGAAACACCCCGAAAGTCGGCGACACTTCGCCAGCTCGATTCAAAAGCTGCGCCGCGCCCCGAAATGTTTCTTGTGTGTCCGCAGGGGGTGAGTGGGGTTGTATCGGGGGGGGGGGTCCCCCGCCCCCCGTAGGCTGATGGTGACAACAGGAACGCCGTTCCGTTGTTGTTGTTGTTGTGTTGTTGTTTTTGTTGCTTTGTAATCGTCCCAGCGCGTGGAGCCAGGCGAGAAGGCGACGACGACGCTGCCATCTGCGGCGTGCCAGTTGGGGGTGCCGGCGGAGAGGCGGTGGTTGTCAGGGGTGGTGGGTGGTTGGGTGGGTTGGGGTGGGGTTGGGTAGGTTGGGTGGGTAAGGTGGGTTGGGTGGGGTGGGTGGGGTGGGGTGGGTGGGTGGGGTTGGGTAGGTTGGGTGGGGTGGGTGGGTGGGTTGGGTGGGGTGGGGTTGGTGGGGTGGGTGGGTTGAGTGGGGTATGGTGGGGGTGGGGTGGATAGGGTGGGTGGGGTGGGGTTGGGGTGGGTGGGTTGGGTGAGTGGGGTGATTTGGGTGGGGTGGGGTGGGTGGGGTAGGTTGGGTGGGGTTGGGGTTGGTGACGTGGGGTTGAAAGGGGTGGGGTGGGGTTGGGTAGGTGGTGGGGGTGGGTGGTGGAGGTGGGTGGTGTGGGTGGTTGACTCATCCCACCACCACCACCACCTTCGTCGTCATCATCATCCCGCTCGGGGTGTGTGGAGGGGTCGGTAAAACGAGTAAACGCTTCGTGGGCATTTGACAGCGGTTGATGTACGGGGGCAGAGTGCCCCCCCCCCCCCACGATAGAAATGTTGAATTTCCACCATCGGCTACGGGAGGAGGCGCCTCCCGCTTTGTCCTCAACGCGAGAGCCACTGGTAAACAAAAACACCGCCGTCCGTCCTTCTTCTTCTTATTGTTGTTGTTTCCGGCCGGTCCAACATTTAATCTGCTGCATTGCGTGCCTGTAAGCCTCTTACGCTGCTAAAAAAAAGAAACAACACGTATCTGGGAATGTCACGGGGCCATCTGACCACAGGTGCCCACCCACCCACCACCTCGCCCACCCCGGCGAAAGTTGCTCATTTTAAAGGAACACGCGTGGGCACGGTGCCACGTGGCCCCACGTGCATCACTATTCCGCGGGCGGGCGGGCGGGCGGGCGAGAGGCTTAGAGCGACATCAGGGCTACCAGGCACTCATCCACGCCGCCCAGATGGAAGCATGGGGCTTACCGAGAGCCGTGTGGTGAGCCGAATCATGGTGGTGGTTGGGGGGGGGGGGAGAGCTGTAGAGGGTGGGGGGGGGGATGTTTGGGCTCAGCGAGTGACGCGGGAACACCGGCACGCACACCGGCACGCACTGCCCCTCTGCAGCACGCCTCGTGTTTCCACGCGGCGCTGGGAGCAAAACCGCAGTAACGGAGAGAGACGGCCGGAGCGGGCCGGAGCGGGCCGGAGCGGGACGGAGCGGGCCTACTCCTCGTCCGTTACCCAGTCTCCGGCGCGCGCACGATCGGCGGGCCCCCCATCGCCTGGCGTCCCACCAACCCCCGCCCGGCCGCTGCTCCCTTGCGGCACGTGGGCAAAGGAGGCTTCTGCCGGGACCGGCTCCGACGTCGCCCCTCGGTTGGCCCGCGCCACCGCCGGCCCCGTCGGTCGTGCCCGCCGGGCCTTCGTCGATGGGGCCAACCGACGGCAAGAGGGGCGCGCTGGTTCCCGGCGCGGTGCCGACGATTCCCCCCCCCCCCCCCAAACAAAAAAATTACCCAGCGCTTCCCTTTTCGCGAGGCATCTTCGCGGTGGTCCTTTCGGCGAATGGCGCAAAATGCACCGGCGGTGTCCTTGTTGCCGCCGCCGTTCAGATCCGATCGGCGTGAACGTCACCTTGTCCTCGGGCGCCGCGGCGGCGATTCGGGGTCGCGGTCGCCAGCGGCCGATCGTCGTCGCGGCAAGAAACGGGGTGGTGGTGGTGGTGGTGGTGTTGGGGGGAGATTCTCAGCGACCGCATCCCTCCGCCGGCGTTTTGTCCGCGTCCCTTCACCGACGGCGGCCGTGTCGTCGACGGGCGGACCAGAAGAAATCTCCCCCGGCGAATCCTCGAGTTGCGCGCGGTGAAGGCGGCGGTTTTTGGGAGAGGGGATGGGTGTTGGCGGAACAGGAGGAGTAGGCCGACGGCAGGGACTAGTCGGCACGGGGGAGGGAGGGAGGGATGGAGTGGGGGGGGGGGATCGGCGGGTGGAGGTCACGGGTGGAGGGGTCACGAAGGTGGTCAGCAGAAGATGCACAGCAGCCGGTGGCTAGGAGATGTCAGTGGCAGTGGTAGCCGGTGGCTGGCCGGGCCGGCTCTAGACCAGGGATCCCGCCCGGCTCTGCGCTGGCACCATGATGGGAACTCCTCCCATGCGGACGAGGTTGCCCGGTGACACCGCGCGGGCCGGCACGGGCGACACTCCCACGCCGAAGTCCATCGGCCCCGGCGAAGTCTGAGAAACCAATAAGACAAAGAATGTCGATGGGAGTCTTTTTTTTGCCGGCGTCAAAATTTTACGAGAGAGAGAGGAAAAATATTTGGAACCAGGATTTTTATTACCTCATTCTGGTAATAAAACAGGAGGTCTTGAAATGTTCCAAACACCAAATAGACAAACCTACTGCAAGGCATCGAGTCTGCATCAACCACACGAACTTGTGGCAAAAAAAAAACATGCAAGCAAACACGCTCTGATAATAATTCACGCATTGTCTTTGAAATCGATTGGCCTACAGCAGAGACAGCCTTCTTTATGGGCTTGTCTCACGAGTGCTTAGACCAGCGAGCGTCAAAAGGCGAACAGTACAAAGGCAATGCAATTATCAAAGTATTAATAGCTCGGGTTGAGCAGTTATATCTATGGAACCTTTATGACAGAAAGGGTAAAGCATCTTCTTATATTTTTTTATCTTAAAGACAGAGATCCCCCCCCCCATATATAGCCTTAATAGTCTGTCTGGGCAAGTGCTGTTCACGAGCGCCTATATAGGGTGTGGGTGGCCAGCACCACGCCTGTGCCACCTTTGTCTCTCCACAGTGGCGATGTTTTCACACCGCACCAGGTACTCATTTGAGGCCGAGCCGACCTAGGGGAGGCCCGGGACCGGTTCAGATAATCGTCACCGGCGATGGTGTGCCATGAGCGGGAATCGAACTCTGGTAGCCGGGGGCGAGTGGCGCGGCGCGCTAACCGCTGCGCCACCGCTCCCCCCAGCGCACATTGACACGCGAACCAAGGGCTGAGCCCCAGTACCATCGGGATTGGAGATGGGGTGGGTCCGTTGCTTGGCGACAGCGGAGACGTCTGATTGGCCAGGGGCTCGAACGGGACCCCCGCCTCGTCGCAGCGGCTTGGCTGTGGATTCTGCGGGGGGGACCACGTGGGGGGTTGGGTGGGTGGTGGCGTTGGGGGGGTGGTGGGGGGGTGGTGGGGGGGGTTGGGTGGGTGGTGGCGGTGGGGGGGTGGTGGTGGTGGAGGGGTGGTGGGTGGTGGTGGTGGGGGGTGGTGGTGGTGGTGGGGGGGTGGTGGTGGTGGGGGGGTGGTGGGTGGTGTTGGTGGGGGGGTGGTGGGTGGTGGTGGTGGGGGGGGTGGTGGTGGTGGGGGGGTGGTGGTGGGGGGGGGTGGGGGGTGGTGGTGGTGGTGGGGGGGTGGTGGGGGGGGAACGACACCCGGCCACGTGAAAACCACGGCGACACGCGGGGCGAGGCGGAGACGAGACACGGAGACGAGACACGGAGACGAGACACGATGCAGGCCCTCGGCAAGCGCCCTGCACTTGCCGAGGCCCTGGGTTCGAGCCCTGGCTCGAGGCGTCGCGGGCTGTTGATTCAACACGGCCCTGAATGAGGCGCTGAGCTGGCACCAGCGAGAGGCCCGAGGTTCAAGCCCTGGGGTCTTGGGGTTTTCTCTCCCTGTGCGTCAGGTGCACACTGCCTGTCACGCTCATTGCGGCTTTTTTGGCAGTGTGCCAGTGTGTGCCGGTGTGTGCCACTGCCCGTGTGTGTGGAGAGCGGTAGAGTTGCGGTGAGAGCGCGCCGCGCTACGAGCCCGGCGACCCGAGTTCGATCCGCCGGTGACGATTAATCCGAACCGGTCCTGGGCCTCCCCGAGGTCGACTCAGCCACAAATTGAGTAGCTGGCGCGGTGTGTAAACATCACAACTGGGGAGACAAAGGCGGTCTTCATAGAGTGCTCGCTCACAGCACTTGCCCCGACAGTCTGTTAAGGCTACACGGGGGATCTTTGTCTTGCCGGTGCTTGCAACCATACGCCAGTGCACACCGACGTACGCCAGCGCGTGTGTCAGTGTGCGTGTGTCAGTGTGCGTGTGTCAGTGTGCGTGTGCGAGTGTGCGTGTGCCAGTGTGTGTGTGTCAGTGTGTGTGTGTCAGTGTGCGTGTGCCAGTGTGCGTGTGTCAGTGTGCGTGTGTCAGTGTGCGTGTGCCAGTGTGCGTGTGTCAGTGTGCGTGTGCCAGTGTGTGTGTGCCAGTGTGCGTGTGTCAGTGTGCGTGTGCCAGTGTGTGTGTGTGTCAGTGTGTGTGTGTCAGTGTGCGTGTGTCAGTGTGTGTGTGTCAGTGTGTGTGTGTCAGTGTGCGTGTGCCAGTGTGCGTGTGTCAGTGTGTGTGTGTCAGTGTGCGTGTGTCAGTGTGCGTGTGTCAGCGCGCGTGTCAGTGTGCGTGTGTCAGTGTGCGTGTGTCAGTGTGCGTGTGTCAGTGTGTGTGTGCCAGTGTGTGTGTGTGCCAGTGTGTGTGTGCCAGTGTGCGTGTGTCAGTGTGCGTGTGTCAGTGTGCGTGTGTCAGTGTGCGTGTGTCAGTGTGCGTGTGTCAGTGTGCGTGTGTCAGTGTGCGTGTGTCAGTGTGCGTGTGCCAGTGTGCGTGTGTCAGTGTGCGTGTGTCAGTGTGCGTGTGTCAGTGTGCGTGTGTCAGTGTGCGTGTGCCAGTGTGCGTGTGTCAGTGTGCGTGTGCCAGTGTGCGTGTGTCAGTGTGTGTGTGTCAGTGTGCGTGTGTCAGTGTGCGTGTGCCAGTGTGCGTGTGCCAGTGTGCGTGTGTCAGTGTGCGTGTGCCAGTGTGCGTGTGTCAGTGTGTGTGTGTCAGTGTGCGTGTGTCAGTGTGCGTGTGCCAGTGTGCGTGTGTCAGTGTGCGTGTGTCAGTGTGCGTGTGCCAGTGTGCGTGTGTCAGTGTGCGTGTGCCAGTGTGCGTGTGTCAGTGTGCGTGTGTCAGTGTGCGTGTGTCAGTGTGCGTGTGCCAGTGTGCGTGTGTCAGTGTGCGTGTGCCAGTGTGCGTGTGTCAGTGTGTGTGTGTCAGTGTGCGTGTGTCAGTGTGCGTGTGCCAGTGTGCGTGTGCCAGTGTGCGTGTGTCAGTGTGCGTGTGCCAGTGTGCGTGTGTCAGTGTGCGTGTGCCAGTGTGCGTGTGTCAGTGTGCGTGTGCCAGTGTGCGTGTGTCAGTGTGCGTGTGTCAGTGTGCGTGTGCCAGTGTGCGTGTGTCAGTGTGCGTGTGTCAGTGTGCGTGTGTCAGTGTGCGTGTGTCAGTGTGCGTGTGTCAGTGTGGTGGGGAGCGATAGTGTAGCGGTTAGCGCTACGCTGCGCTATGAACCTGGCGACCCGGGTTCGATTCCCGCTCACGGCCAACACCAGTGACGATTATCGGAACCGGTCCCGGGCCTCCCCTAGGTCGACTTAGCCTCAAATGAGTACCTGGTGCGGTGTGTGTAGTAAACATTGCCACTAGGGAGACAAAGGCGGTCGGGCGTGGTGCTGGCCACCCACCCCCTCGTGTACCGTTCCGGCCTTCATAGGTGCTCGCTATACGGGGGATCTTTGTGTGTCAGTGTGTGCGTGTGTGTCAGCGCGCGTGCCCGTCACCTGGCCGTACGCGTTCTGGCGACCGCTGCCCGGCGCCGGGTTGACGAGCGAGGCGGTCACCACGGAGGGGGCTCCGGCGTCCACCACGGCGAACGCCGGCGCGCGGCCGTGCCCGTTGGCGCCGGCGACGTGCGACGCATTGTGCTGGTGGTGCGCGTGGTGAGGTTGGTGAAGGTGGTGAGGGTGGTGGTGGTGAGGGTGGTGGTGTCTGTCGGAGCCGCCGGCCCTGTGCGTCGTGGGGCCGTGGGCGGCCGCCCCGTTGGCCGGGTGTTTGTACGGGGGCCCCGGCGCCGAGCTCAGACTGCTGAGGCCCGAGCCGGGCCTGGGGGTGCTGCCCGTTTTGCTGCCCGACGCGGCGTACTGCGGGGGAGGCGCGTCCATCCTGGGGGGGGGGGGGCAACAACGAGGTCGGCGACGATGATGATGATGATGATGGCAGAGGCAGCAGCGTCATTGTCACAGCACGTGGCGGTGGCGGTGATCATCGGCCGTTGGGCGCTCGTCGATGATGATTCTGATGATGATCACAACCAAAGCAACGATAATCACGTGACAATGATGCTGCTGATGATGATTGCACACTTGTCAACCCCTTATCAGTGCCCTACCTTATTACAGACCAATTCAGAGCTTATTGGTCACCCCATGCCCTTATAAATCTCAAAGTTTATCCTACAAAGTCCCATCACGATGGAGAAACACAAAAAAATATTTTTAAAAATGTGCTCGTATTGAAACGGCTGTATGCTGTATGGACATGAAAACAAACTCAATTTTCCTTTACAAGAATACCGAGTAAACCGTATTCTTGATTGTGCAGATGACGATGATGATTGTGCTTCCTTTTGCTGATGACAATGATGCTACTACTGCTGCTACTGCTACTTTGAGCGATGATGTATGTATGTTGAACTTCTTTCGAACTGTAGATAGCCAACCATGCTAATCGGAGGTGTGGGGTAAGGGCAACAAACTAAACACAAAAAGCAGTTCTGAAAAAAAAATACTTAATTTAGATTTTAAAGTGCATAGCTCCATGGTGGTGGTAGCGGTGGTGGTGGCTATGGCAATGGTGGAGGTTGTGGCAGAATTGGCGGTAGTGGTGGTTAGTGGTGGTAGCGTTGGTCGCGGTGGCAGTAGCGGTGGTGGCGGTAGTGATGGCGGTAGCGGTGGTGGCGGTAGCAGTTGCTGTGACGGTGATGGCGGTAGCGGTGGTGGCGGTAGTGGTGGCGATGGCTGTGGCGGTGATGGCAGTAGCGGTGGCGATGGCTGTGGCAGTGGTGGCAGTAGCTGTGGCGGTGATGGCAGTAGCGGCGGCGATGGCTTTGGCGGTGATGGCAGTAGCTGTGGCGGTGATGGCAGTAGCGGTGGAGATGGCTTTGTCGGTGATGGCAGTAGCGGTGGCGATGGCTTTGTCGGTGATAGCAGTAGCGGTGGCGATGGCTTTGGCGGTGATGGCAGTAGCTGTGGCAGTGGTGGCAGTAGCGGTGGCGATGGCTGTGGCGGCGATGGCGGCAGTGGTGGCGATGGCTGTGGCGGTGGTGGCAGTAGCGGTGGCGATGGCTGTGGCGGTGACGGCAGTAACGGTGGCTTTGGCAGTGGTGGCAGTAGCGGTGGCGATGGCTGTGGTGGTGATGGCAGTAGCGGTGGCGATGGCTGTGGCGGCGATGGCGGCAGTGGTGGCGATAGCGACGACGTGACCGACCGGATGTCGTTGGGCAGCTCGTCCTCCTTGCCGGTCGCTTTACGTCTCCGCGCCCACGCGTAGCCCAGCAGCAGCAGCACGAGCGCCACTCCGAGCAGGGAGCCCACCAGCACCCCAGCCACGAGACCCACGTTCACGCTCGGCGCTGCAGGGGAAGGGTGGGCACGAGAGGAGGGGAGCGGATTGTCACGCCGCCATTGTTTGATTTATCTCGGAGGTTCGTCGTCACGGTCCGAGCGCTGCGACCCCCCCCCCCCCAGGCCCACGCCAACGTCAAAGCGCCGTGATCTCTCTCCCCGCTCCTCATGAGGACGCTGGTGGATTACGCGCGACCGTCCAGTTCGTTGAACTTCTGTCACAACCATAGGTGGTGCGGGGAAAGAACAGCACAGTGATGCAGCGGGAGAGTGAGGTCACACGGTAATGTGATTGGTGGTGTGCTGAGATGTTTGGTGGAGTGGTGTCGTGAGATCAGTGGCGTTGCGGTGAGATGCTTGATGGAGTGGAGTGGTGAGATTATTAATGGAGTGGAGTGGTGAGATGATTGAGGGAGTGGAGTGGTGAGATGATTGATGGAGTGGAGTGGTGAGATGATTGATGGAATGGAGTGGTGAGATGATTGATGGAGTGGAGTGGTGAGATGATTGATGGAGAGGAGTGGTGAGATGATTGATGGAGTGGAGTGGTGAGATGATTGATGGAGTGGAGGGGTGAGATGATTGATGGAGATGAGTGGTGAGATGATTGATGGAGGAGTGGTGAGATAATTGATGGAGGAGTGGTGAGATGATTGATAGAGTGGTGAGATAATTGATGGAGTGGAGTGGTCAGATGTTTGATGGAGATGAGTGGTGAGATGATTGATGGAGATGAGTGGTGAGATGATTGATAGAGTGGTGAGATGATTGATGGAGTGGAGTGGTGAGATGATTGATAGAGTGGAGTTGTGAGATGATTGAGGGAGTGGAGTGGTGAGATGATTGATGGAGTGGTGAGATGATTGATGGAGTGGTGAGATAATTGATGGAGGAGTGGTGAGATGATTAATGGAGAGGAGTGGTGAGGTGATTGATGGAGTGGTGAGATGATTGAGGGAGAGGAGTGGTGAGATAATTGATGGAGGAGTGGTGAGATGATTAATGGAGAGGAGTGGTGAGGTGATTGATGGAGTGGTGAGATGATTGATAGAGCGGTGAGATGATTGATGGAGAGGAGTGGTGAGATCATTGATGGAGTGGAGTATTGAGATGATTGGAGTGGTGAGATGATTGATGGAGTGGTGAGATGATTGATGGAGAGGAGTGGTGAGATGATTGATGGAGAGGAGTGGTGAGATGATTGATGGAGGAGTGGTGAGATGATTGATGGAGAGGAGTGGTGAGATGATTGATGGAGAGGAGTGGTGAGATGATTAATGGAGAGGAGTGATGGGAGGAGCGTTGGGATGACTGACGGTGCGGTGAGCATGCGGGCACGCACGGATCCTGAGTGCTAGCGTGATGGTGCAGTTGCTGCTGCCCACGGAGTTGCGCGCCGTGCACGAGTAGACGCCCTCTGAGTCGGCGCTCACGTTCGTCAGGGTGAGCGTGCCCTCCTTCCGGCCTGCACGCGTACAAGATGACAAAGGTCCCCAGCGTAGCCTTTTAACAGACCGTCGGGGCGAGCGCTGTTAGCGTCCAGCACCTGTGAAGGCCCAGAAGGGCGCACGATGGCAGTGACGCGGCCTCGTGCCGGTCCCAGAGAAGCCTGCGCGAGAGGCGGCGAGCTCCTACCCAGCGCGGCGTTCGCCGGCAGCTTCCTGGCGGCCTCGAGGCGGGTCCACAGGTAGGAGGGCGCGGGGTTGCCCTCGGAGGAGCTGCAGGTGAGCGTGATGTTGGTCCCCACCGTGGGGTCGCCCTCCATGATGCACCTGGGCGTCGCGGGAGGAACTGTGTGGGGCGGCAGGAGCGAGCGGAGGGAGGCTTTAGGGGCCACCTCGTTACAGTGATCCGTGATGACGTTTTTTTCGGGGAGGTTAGATCGCGTGAAGTATAACTGTGTCGTTAAACCCGCCGCCAGCCCGACGCAGGTAACCAGTAAGGTTTGGGCCCTTGAATAAAACGTGCCGATTAGTCACCGGTTGAGCACATGGCCTGTGTGTTGGAGAGTGAACTCACAATGTTCACATTTCGAGATCCGTGACGTTTTGCCGGCATTTAAGACAACCAGCCTCATCAGGCGGCAGCCAGAAACGTTATGGCGATCATCTCGCCGCTGAAACGCCGGCATTTATTTAACTTGGTGAGAACTCCCCCCCACCCGCTACACCTCCCCCCCCCCCCGTTACTTTTGTTCATCTTCCCCCATCCCCGTACAATAAAACCTATGTTGCCGCTCGCAGTCATCTACCTGATTGGGAGCAGTGAGCCCAATTATTCTCGCCTTTCATAAAACCCAGGAGCACTGAATTAGGACCTCGCTCAGTCCGCAAAATTTCTGTATCCCCTCACTCTCACCCCAACTCCCTCCCTGGTTATGGTCCGTGCCTTGTACCGGACTCTTGTCGCATTGAACAAAAATAAGAAATTAAGCGAGAACTCAAGAAGCCGGGAGAGAAATCCATTGGCAACCGGTGACCTGCGTGGTGCGCCTGTGTGCGGGGAGCGGCGGCGCAGCGGTTAGCGCGCCCCGAGGTCGCCTTCTGCTCGTGAACCAACATCACAACTAGCCCTGCGCCTCGCCTAGGTCGACTCAGCCTAAAGTAATGTACCTGGTGCGTAAGAGGGGGAACTTTACGAGACAAAGGCGGGCGGGCGGGTGCGGTGTTGGCCAAAACCACCTCCTCGTGTGCCGTTCCGGCCTTCATAGCTGCCACTCGCTAGCAGCACTTGCCCCTACATTCTGTTAAATGCTAAACGGGGGATCGATGCCTTTTCCTGCTGTTACGGGCCTCAAGTGCTCGCTAACAGCACTCTCCCCAACAACAGCCCCGTTGAAGGCTACACGGGCGATCTTTGCATTCGTGCGTAAGAGTGACGTCGCCACTTGGGGCGCTAATAACGTCACATGGCACCGCCCACAAACATCAGCATGTGGCTTCCCAGAGGGCTCGTTTAAAGGGTTACAATAACGCACTTTGAAACCTACGTTGGAAACTCATTTCTTTAGAACTCTTTTTGTGTGCGTGTGTGTGTCTAGTTTGTCGTTCTTTTCCCCGCACCTCCGATTAGCACAGTTTGCTACGTGTGGTGTCAAGGTAGACTCCGACTTAGGAACCTTCCGACTTACGAACGTCCGCGCTAACGAACGCACTTCATGCTCTAACCGTCCGACTCGCGAACGCGATCTCGCAACTTGCGGTCCGAACCGCGGGACTGTTAACAGTGTCGCATGCAAATGTGCAACATTAAAAAAAAATATTTACGAGTTTAACAATGCATTTTATATAAACTGTAACACATTTTATAACACTGACCGGATGACCATTTAAACATAGTAGAATTACTGCGTTCCGACTTGCGAACCGGCCCCAGGAACTGAATACGTTCGTAAGTCGTGGACTGCCCTACATACGCACAACAATGGAGGGGGGTACGGGGCGGATCTTCTATCTTTGTGACGCAGCGTCACGTGTGGTGGGGGCGTGGCCCCGGCTGAACGTCTCTTTGGCTGACCCCCCTTAGCGGCTCTTTGGCTGCTGTGTATCCGTCTGTGTCTGTGTGTGTGCGTTCGTGTACAAGTAGCTTTGCGCGCGTGCGATGCGGCTCTTGAAGTATAAAAGAATAACAACCCATGGCTCTTCTTCTTTGGTGGCGAGCTGTGAACTGCCTCGCCTGGTATACAGGAGGTCGTGGGTTCCATCCCGACCCTGACGACGCCTGCTGTATACGCGAAGATTGTGTCTGTCTCTCTCTCTCTCTCCCTGATTTCCCCCCTCCACATTTATAATGAACATCAGGCGTGTCGAGAGTCTTCGTGCTGCTGCTGCTGTACACTTCCACGTGCTCAGCTGTTTGACGTGCTAAGCTGTTTCACGTGCTAAGCTGATGTTTGCGATAGCCAGTTCGCTTCTGTAAGAGCTGCACATCTCAAAGTGGGCCTTATGTGGTGAAATAGAAACAGTCGTCATTAATCAGTGGGGGGGGGGGGGGGGGAGAGAAGTGGGGTTTGGGGGCGAGGTGGGGGGGGGAGAGATGTGGGGTTGGGGGAGAGAGATGGGGGGGGAGAGAAGTGGGGTTGGGGGCGAGGTGGGGGGGGAGAGATGTGGGGTTGGGGGTTGGGGGAGAGAGATGGGGGGGGAGAGAAGTGGGGTTGGGGGCGAGGTGGGGGGGGGGAAGAGGCGGGGTTGGGGGGGAGAGGTGGGAGGAGAGATGTGGGGCTGGGGGGAGAGAGGTGGGGGGGGAGAGGTGGGGGGGGAAGAGGTGGGGGGGGGGGAAGAGGCGGGGTTGGGGGGCAGAGGCGGGGTTGGGGGGAGAGAGGTGGGGGCCAGTTTGGGTGCCGCGCGCCGCCCCGCACCCAGCACTGTGAGGGTGACGACGCCGACCCCCCCGGGGGGGTCTGCGATCAGGTTGACGGAGCAGGTGTAGGCGCCCGCGTCGCTCTCGCGCGCGCGCTCCACGCGCACCGACACCGCCGATCCGGGCATCGGCGAGGTGAAGTCGGCGCGACCCGCGAAGCTCGCAGAGCCGTTCACCACCTGGCCAGCCATGAAGCCCAGCACCTGCTCCTGTGTGGGGGGAGGTGGTGGGGAGGTGTTGGTAGGTGGGGGGGGGACGAACAAATGATTAATGTACTCGATGTTCGATGTTCTCGGAGTGGACGTCAGCCCACGTAGCCACATAGGCGTGCTACAGCCTCCTACAGGCTCCTCCTCCTACAGCCTCCTCCTCCTACAGCCTCCTACAGGCTCCTCCTCCTACAGCCTCCTCCTCCTACAGCCTCCTCCTCCTACAGCCTCCTACAGGCTCCTCCTCCTACAGCCTCCTCCTCCTACAGGCTCCTCCTCCTACAGCCTCCTACAGCCTTTTACAGGCCCCTCCTACTACAGCCTCCTCTTCCTCCTACAGCCTCCTACAGGCTCCTCCTCCTACAGCCTCCTCCTCCTACAGGCTCCTCCTCCTACAGCCTCCTCCTCCTACAGCCTCCTACAGGCTCCTCTTCCTACAGGCTCCTCCTCCTACAGCCTCCTCCTCCTGCAGCCTCCTAGAGGCTCCTCCTCCCACAGCCTCCTCCTCCTACAGGCTCCTACAGCCTCCTCCTCCTACAGCCTCCTAGAGGCTCCTCCTCCTACAGCATCCTCCTCCTACAGCCTCCTCCTCCTACAGCCTCCTAGAGGCTCCTCCTCCTACAGCCTCCTACAGGCTCCTCCTCCGCCAGCCTCCTCCTCCTACAGCCCATACAGGCTCCTCCTCCTACAGCCGGTGGAGCGGCATAGTATCCGTTAGCGCTACGCTGCGCTACGGACTCGGCTATCTCAGAGTTCGATTCCCCGCTCACGGCCAACACCAAGTGAACCGGTCCTGGGTCGACTCAGCCTCAAATGAGTACCTGGTGCGGTGTGTAAAAAACATCGCCACTAGGGAGACAAAGGCGGTCGGGCGTGGTGCTGACCACCCACCCTCTAGTGTGCCATTGCGGCCGTCATAGGTGTCGCTCGCTAACAGCACTTGCCCCAACAGTCTGTGCAGGCTATACGGGGGATCTTTGTCTTTGGGGTGGGTAGTGTCGACACGGGTCTTTGGCGGGGTTCGTTACGCAGTGTGCGTGTGTGGTGAGCGCGACGCGGCACTCACCACGTACACACGCACACACACGTACACACACACACGCGCACACCCACACACCCACACGTGCACACACACACACACACCCACACGCGCACACACACACACCCACACTTGCACACACACAAACCCACACACCCACACGCGCACACACACACACCCACACTTGCACACACACAAACCCACACCCCACACGTGCACACACACGTGCACACCCACACATCCACACGCGCACACACCCACACGTGCACAACACAGACACACACACCCACACGTGCACACCCACACGTGCACACGCGCACACACGTGCACACCCACACACCCACACTTGCACACACACAAACCCACACACCCACACGTGCACACACACGTGCACACCCACACGCGCACACACCCACACGTGCACACACACCCACACACACCCACACGTGCACACACGCATACCCACACGCACACACCCACACGTGCACACGCGCACACACGTGCACACCCACACACCCACACGTGCACACACACACACCCACACACGCACACACCCACACGCACACACCCACACGTGCACGCACACACACAAAGGCAACGATCCCCCGTTTAGCATTGAACAGACTGTAGGGGCAAGTGCTGTTAGCGAGTAGCAGCTATGAAGGCCGGAACGGCACACGAGGGGGTGGGTGGCCAGGACCACGCCCAGCCGCCTTTGTTTCCCCAGTGGCGATGTTTACTACAAACCGGACCAGGTACTCGTTTGAGGCTGAGTCGACCGAGGGGAATCCCAGGATCGGTTCAAATAATGGTCACTGGTGTTGGTCGCCAGGTTCATAGCGCAGCGCGCCAACCACTGCACTACCGCTCCGCACGCACACACCCACACGCACACACCCACACACACCCACACGTGCACACACGCACACACCCACCCACTCACACCCACACGCGCACACGTACACACACGCACACACATACACCCACACGTGCACACACACACCCACACGTGCACACCCACACGTGCACACACGCACACACCCACCCACTCACACCCACACGCGCACACGTACACACACGCACACACATACACCCACACGTGCACACACACACCCACACGTGCACACCCACACGTGCACAGACGCACCCCTGCCCCGCGCTCCGTGTTGGCGATCCACAGCACGACGAGGTTGTTGAGCGTGGGCGCGTTGGAGCTGACGGAGCACGGCAACTCGGCCGCCTGACCCCTCGCCACCGTCACCTCCGCCGGGTTCACGGTCACCACGACCCCGCGCGCTCCCCCGATGCACGCGCCTGAGAGTGGAGCACACAACGCATTCAGCATCGTCAGCTGCACCATAGTCTATCAATCAGTGATTATTAATGTTGTTTTCAGCAGCATCATCATCACCACCAGCATCATCACCACCAGCATCATCATCATCATCACCACTAGCATCATCATCTATCAATCGGTCATTATTTATCTTGTCATCAGCATCATCATCACCACGAGCATCTTCATCATCAATCCCGCAGTGAATGTATTTTGTGTAACCAGGGAAGTAAACTGCCACTCTTTAGACGCATGTAGGATGGCCAATAAGAGGTGACATTAAAAGTGTTGTTCGGAAAAATGTAAGGAACCAGAGAGCGAGGAGGACCTAACAGACAGTGGCTTGACGCCGACATAATAAGAGATCGGTGCCAGAAAGATGTTGGCCACTACTTGAAAATATTGGCACAATACAGAGGAAAGTGGAAACAAGTGATAAAACGTGCAGTGGACACCTATCTGCCCATGGATCGTGATGATGACGGCGAAGATGATCCAGGGTGAGAACTCTCAAGAGACCAGAATGAGTCTCAGTTGCGAGGGTGACCTGGGACATTAGCCTGCCAGAAGAGGGAGATTGCTGCTGCTGCTGCGTACTGCTGCTACAAGCGAGTCGTTTTGCGCGGTCACAATTTGACAAATGTGGACCCTGACGGCAGGAAAGGAGCACCTCCACTCCTGCGAACGACGTGAAGAGATCGGTAACGTCTTGGCGCGCAATTTTTGTTACATTTTTCCACGGCTGTTAGAACGGCGGTATTAACCAGGGCGGCCGCTGGGTCGTGTCTGTGGCCAGTAGGTGGGCGATGGCTTCATGATGATGATGGTGGTGGTGTTTAATGATACTTATTAATGATGATCATCATGGTGATCAACATTTACGAACGTTTGTTGATAATGACGTTGTTGTTATTTCGATGATGATGATGATGGCGACAGTGGAGATGCGTTCATCCAGCAGTGGATAGGCAATGGAATGTCACAATTGACTCTTGCTATCAATATTGATTGATGGCGATCACGATGATGTGTAGATTAACGATTGATAATGATGGTGATCATGGATAATGATGATGATGGCCTTACGATTAGAATACCATCATCTTCGTGGTGTCGTAACGGTAATTTCTATATATTTTTAAAGCGATGTTTACATTTCAATATACTTTGCACTCGTATTCGTGTTTTTGTATTGTTTGTTGTTTTGTAACGTTCTGACCCCGTGGTCCCTACTGGACATCTGTGAAAAAGAGCTTGATGGCTCATCGGATTCCACCAGTCTAAATACATTTTATGATTCTGATGGAAGACGGTACAGGAAGACGTGTAATAAAATCTGCGTTTGTGTTATTGCCAACATTGGTGGGGTGGGGGGTGTGTGAGCATTTGAATGTGTTTGTTTTCATTGTGTTACGAAAGCTGAATATGGGCACAGATTTAGCCGAGTCTCGACAGTTAATCAGACACATCGCCTCCAAAATATTTAACGTAACCAACAAAAAATGTGGACTGCCCACACTTTGGTGGGGAGGTCATCAATTGTAATCTTTTTTTTAGACGTTTCTGAACCGAGGGCTACGGACGTAGCGTTTAAGGGCTTCTCAGTGCTGGTATAAACACGGATTTAAAAATTAAACTAAACAACAAATTAACGAATGTTTAGTTTCGGTTCCAGGAAAATATTCAGTAGCACGTTGTTAATGGTTTTGAGTGTTTAAATCGGGGTTATGAAGGTTTTGTCTCGGGAGACTTTCGAAGGTGGCTGAATCTGAATGCAACATCACATTTTAAACTAACTCAATATTTTTTTTTACCTTTAACCTTCACCTATATCTGTGCCCATATGTTATGTTGTAACCAAACGTTTGACTTTGCATTTTGGTAGCTAAACCAGGGGTCGGCAACCGAAACAACAAGAAGATATACATATCTATTTTAAGATATCGGTACACAAAATAAACCCTCAATACTTCAAGAGCCACAATGCCACCGCAGTGGTGAGTACGAGACGGTGGTGGCTCCTGAATAAAACAACGTGCACACGAAGCTGCGGTTCCTGAGAGAGCCGACCGCTGAGCTAGACGGACTAAAGTTTGTCTCTGGAGGTGTTGATGGGAGCAGGACCCAGATAAGAAAAATGTGAATTTACAAAAGTGTTATGTTGGCCTTTTTTTTGTTTTAACAAATGTGACTGTAGGGCGGCGTTCTTCGTCGCAAGGCCACGCGGGCCACAAAACACAAATGGTGACAACACCCCCCATCATCATCATCACCATCATCATCACCATCATCATCACCATCATCATCACCATCATTATCACCATCATCATCATCATCACCATCATCGTCACCATCATCGTCACCGTGCTGCTGCTGTCAAACTTAGCGATGGTTTAAAAATGTGTGGCGGCCTTAACGCCACATTGCTACCACCACAACCACCACCATCATCACCACCACCACCATCACCACCACCACCACCACCATCACCACCACCATCACCACCACCATCACCACCACCACCACCATCATCACCACCACCACCATCACCACCATCATTATCACCATCATCACCATCATCATCACCACCACCACCATCACCACCACCACCATCGTCCCCACCGCCGTCATCATCACCGTCCTGCTGCTGTCAATCCCAACGATGGTTTATGATGCCTTATTGGCCAAAGTGCCCCCCCCCCCACCACCCATCTGAAAATTGCTGATTACGGATCTAAAGTCGCCAGCTACGTGGCGCGCTGGAGATTGTTTTTGCACGATAGTACGGTCTTCGTTATCGTCTAATTGCTATTGTTGTTACTATTCAAGGATATAACACGGGCAGAGGCCATTACCGGCAACTTTTACATGAACTCACACGCATTAATAATCATAATAAAACACACACACACACAAACCAAATTACCGTACATGAATGCATACATAAATAAACACACATGCATGAATACACAGTATATTAAATGTATGTACAAAGTCAAGGACAAAGATGTCCCATATAGCTTTAAGGAAGGTTGGAGCAAGTGCTGTTCGCGAGCACCTATGAAGGCCGGCACGGTACACGAGGGGGTGGGTGGCCAACACCACGCCCGGCCGCTTTGTCTCCCTAGTGGCGATGTTTACACACCGTAGCATGTACTCATTTGGGGATGAGTCGACGTAGGGGAGGCCCAGAACCGGTTCAAATGATCGTCACCGGCGTTGGCCGTGAGTGGGACTTGAACTGTTCGCAGCGCAGCGCAGCTAACCGCTACACCACCGCTCCCCATTCACACACACACACAGGGGTGTTCGTGCGCACACACACACACACACTTTCACCCCGCGTGTCCGTGAGAGGTGATGACAGGATATTCCGCTAAGCCCCCTGTCTCGCTCATGGTTTAACTCGTTAATCCACGCTCCTCTCTCTCTCTCTCTGCGCTCGCCATTGTGCGCCCTTCTCTCTGAACGTAACCTCCGCTGTTTTTCGTTTTGCCGTTGTCACATTAATAACGTCACCGCGACGCGATCATTGTTCAGCAGACTGAAACAACGTCGTGCATAAGCGCATTCGCACGCGCGCGCACGAAGACAAAGACCCCCCGTATAGCCTTAACAGACTGTAGGGGCAAGTGTTGTTAGCGAGCACTCTATGAATGCCGGAACGGCACACGAGGGGGTGGGTGGCCAGCACCACTCCCGACCGCCTCTGTCTCCCCAGTGGCGATGTTTACAAACCGCACCAGGTACTCATTTTAGGCTGAGTCGACCTAGGGGAGGTCAGGAACCGGTTCAGATAATCGTCATTGGTGTTGGCCGTGAGCGGGAATCGAACCCGTGTCGTCAGAGTTGTAGCGCAGCGTAGCGTTAACGCACACGCGTGAGCACACGCACACGTCTCTGGCATGCAGACGGATGGTACACACGCACAAAGACAAAGCTTCCCCCGTATGGCCCACGAGGACTGTCGGGACAAGTGCTGTTAGCGTGCACCAATGTCCGCAAGGCACGCATGCGGGTAATGTGGTCGGAACCGCGCCCGAAGCCGTCCGTGTTTCCCCGGTGCCGATGTGCGTGCGTTCACGCGTTGTGTTGCCGTGGCTCTAACACCGAGTTACGAACCCCGAAAACCCAGAAAACCTGGGTTAGATTCCCCCAGACACAGACAACATCAGTGGCAAGTCTGAACCTATTCTGGGCTTCCACTAGGTCCATTCAGCCTTAAATGAGCACCGGTATGGTGCTCGCTACGATAATCTTTGGTGTGTGCGGTCAGCCTTAATAAGTGCTCGCTGACTTGCACTGACCCACACAACCTTCATGACTAAATGGTGGCCTCTGTCTTTGATTTGAAGTTTAATTGTTAGTGACCTCCTCTGGCAGCTTCTGTTTGGCCGGATTGAGGGGGCTAATCGGGCGCGGGTCACGGGCTAGAGAAGAGATAGATGGTCTGACGGGTGAGTTAGTGAGCGTGTGGGCGAGTGAGTGGGTGAGTGATGGGGAAGGTACGGGCTAGAGAAGAGATGGTATAATGGGTGAGTGAGTGAGTGGCCGATAAAGTGGCTGAGTGAGTGACATGGGCTAGAGAAGAGATGGGCTGATGGGTGAGTTAGTGAGTGAGTGAGTGGTACGGGTTAGAGAAGAGATGGGCTGATGGGTGAGTTAGTGAGTGAGTGGTACGGGCTGGATAGAGACATGGGCTGATGGGTGAGTTAGTGAGTGAGTGAGTGGTACGGGCTAGAGAAGAGATGGGCTGATGGGTGAGTTAGTGAGTGAGTGAGTGCGACGGGCTAGAGAGGAGATGGGCTGATGCGGCACGGGAGGATATGGAGCTGAGTGGACTTGCCGAAGATCGGCACCAGCAATGTAGACAGAGTGCGGCTTCTGTGGAGGAGGCTCGTGAAGGCCACCGCTGCTACTGGGCAGTTGGTGGCAGTCGCCCTCCAACAGCAGCGGGGAGGCCAGAGGGAGCGACGCT